GATCCATCTAAAATAAAAGGAGAAAAGAGGAACAGAAAAATAGGAAATAAAAAAGCAAATAAAACAAAATCAAATATATTAGTAATTACTCTAAATGTAAATTTACTAAATTTTCTAGCTAAAAGATGGATTGTCAAATTGGATTTAAAAACAAAAAACCTGGCCAGGCATGGTGGCTCGTGCCTGTAATCCCAGCACTTTTATAGGCCAAGGCAGGAGGATTGCTTGAGCCCAGGAGTTTGTGACCAACCTGGGCAACATAGTGAGACCCCATCTCTACAAAAATTTTTAAAAAGTAGTCAAGCACGGTGGCATGCACCTGTGCTCCCAGTTACTCAGGAGGCTGAGGTGGGAGGATCACTTGAGCTGAGGAGTTTGAGGCTGCAGTGAGCCATATTTGTGCTACTGCACTTCAGGCTGTGTGACAGGTGAGATCCTATCTCAAAAAAAAAAAAAAAAGACAAATTAGCTTGGCATGGTGGTGCATGCCTGTAATACCAGCTACTTGGGAGGCTGAAGCAGGAGAATCACTTGAGAATCACTTGAACCCAGGAGGCGGAGGTTACAGTGAGCTGAGATTGCGCCATTGCACTCCAGCCTGGACAACAAGAGCAAAACTTTGTCTCAAATTAATTGATTAATTAAAAAAAATCATGGGCCATTGCAGTGGTTCACACCTATAATCTCAGCACTTTGGGAGGCCAAGGCAGGAGGATCACTTGAGGTCAGGAGTTTGAGACCAGACTCAAACTGGTCTCAACATAGTGAGACCCTGTCTCTACAAAAATTAAGAAAAAAATAAGCAGAGTGGCCAGGCACGATAGCTTACGCCTGTAATCTCAGCACTGTGGGAGGCTGAGGCGGCCGGATTACCTGAGCTCAGGAGTTTGAAACCATCCTGGGCAACATGGTGAAACCCCATCTCTACTAAAATGCAAAAAAATTAGATGGGCATGGTGGTGCGCACCTGTAATCCCAGCTACTCAGGAGGCTGAGGCGGGAGAATCGCTTGAACCCAGGAGTTGGAGATTGCAGTGAGCCAAGAACGCGCCACTGCACTCCACGCCAGCTTGGGTGATAGAGTGAGACTCTGTCTCAAATAAATAAATAAATAAATAAATAAGCAGGGCATGGAGGTGTGTGCTTGTAGTCCAAGCTACTCAGGAGGCTGAGGCAGGGGGATCTCTTCAGCTCAGGAGGTTGAGGCTGCAGTGAGCCCAAGATCGTGCCACTGTGCTCCAGCCTGGGTGACAGAGTAAGACCTTGCCTCTAAAGAAATTTTTATATAAAATAAAAATAAATACAAAAAAAACTAAATCTGACCACATCATGATTACAAAAGATACAAGTAAAATATAAGAACACAGAAAGACTAAAATTCAAAGAATGTAAATACATAATATAGGAAAATTCTAATCACAGGAAAGCTAATTTAACTATATTTCTAGCAGACAAAATAATTTTTAAGCAGAAAGAATTACTAATCACTACAAAATAAAATCTTTACAAAATAATAAAAGGATCAATTAACCAGGAAGACATAACAATTCTAAACTAGAAAGCACTCAAAACACAGCATTTAAAAATACATAAAAACAAAAATTGACAATTCTTCAAAGAGATAGTGACAAATTCATTAACATAATAGGTTTATTAAAATACCTTCCCCAGTACTTACTAGTTCAAACAGGCCAAAGAAAGCCATGCCATATATAGAACATCTTGAACAGCACAATTGGTAGGCTGGCCTAATAGAAATAGAAAATTGGAGGGCCAGGCATGGTGGCTCACACCTATAATTCCAGCACTTTGGGAGGCCAAGGCAGGCAGATTACCTGAGGTCAGGAGTTCAAGATCAGCCTGGCCAACACGGTGAAATCCTGTCTCTAGTAAAAATACAAAAATTAGCCAGGCATGATGGCAGGCACCTGTAATCTCAGCTACTCCAGAGGCTGAGGCAGGAGAATCGCTTGAACCCAGGAGGTGGAGGTTGCAGTGAGCCGAGATCGCTCCATTGCACGCCAGCCTGGGGGACAAGAGTGAGACTTCATCTCAAAAGAAAAGAGAAAATTGGAGAATAAGCATTATTTTCAAGTATACATGGAACATTTACAAAAATTAATAACATTCCAGGCCATAAAGTTAGCCTCATAAGTATCTAACCGATAGTTTTTTTGTTTTTGGTTTTTTTTGGTGTTTTTGTTTTTAAGAGGGACTCTTGCTCTGTCCCCCAGGCTGGAGTGCAGTGGCGTGATCTCTGCTCACTGCAAGCTCTGCCTCCTGGGTTCACACCATTCTCCTGCCTCAGCCTTCCGAGTAGCTAGGACTACAGGCGCCCATCACCACGCCCAGCTAATTTTTTGTATTTTTAGTAGCCAGGATAGTCTTGATCTCCTGACCTCGTGATCTGCCTGCCTCGGCCTCTCAAAGTGCTGGGATTACAGGCGTGAGCCACCGTGCCCGGCCTCCTCATATCTAAATGAAATTAAGTTAGAAATCAGTTACAAAAAGATAAGGGAAAAAAAAGTTTGGAAAATTTTTAAATGCACTTTTCAACAACTTGTGAATCAGAGGAGAAATCAGTAGAAATTAGAAAATTCTTAGAATAAATAAATGGTAATGAGAATATTATATATCAAAACCTGTAAGATGCAAGTAGTACTTAGGAGGAAATTCATAACAGTAGTGTTTACATTAGGAAACAAATAAGGCTGAAAATAAGGAAATAAGAAATTAGAAAAACAGGCCAGGCGCGGTGGCTCACGCCTGTAATCCCAGCACTTTGGGAGGACGAGATGGCAGGAATCACGAGGTCAGGAGATCGAGACATTCTTGGCTAACAAGGTGAAACCCCGTCTCTACTAAAATAAAAAAAAAAAAAAGTAAAAAGCCCAGGCGTAGGGCGGGCGCCTGTAATCCGCTACTTGGGAGCTGAGGGACGGAGAATCTGGCGTGAACGCCGGGAGCGAGCTTGCAGTGAGCCGAGATCACGTGGCCACTGCACTCCAGCCTGGCCACTGAGCAAGACTCCGTCTCAAAAAAAAAAAAAAGAGAAATTAGAAAAACAGCAATAAACATAAAGAAAACAGAAAGAAGAAAATAAAGAGCAGAAATTAATGAAGTAGAGAAACATTCAGTAGAGAAGATCAACAAAGCCAAAAGTTAGTTATTTAAAAAGACTAATAAAATAGCCTTGCCGGGCGCAGTGGCTCACGCCTGTAATCCCAGCACTTTGGGAGGCCGAGGCGGGTGGATCATGAGGTCAGGAGTTCAAGACCAGCCTGGCCAACATAGTGAAACCCTGTCTCTACTAAAAAATACAAAAATTAGCCAGGCATGGTGGTGGGCACCTGTAGTCCCAGCTACTTGGGAGGCTGAGGGAGGAGAATGGTGTGAACCCGGGAGACAGAGCTTGCAGTGAGCCGTGATAGCATCACTGCACTCCAGCCTGAGCGACAGAGTGAGACTCCGTCTCAAAAATAAATAAATAAATAAATAAATAAATAAATAATAAAAATTTTAAAAATAAAATAGCCTAACTTGCAAGAGTAACCAAGAATCAAAAACAGAGAGAAATAAGAAAACCATAACTAAATATGCTACAGATATTAAGCAGGTAAGAGTTATAATAACTTTATGTCAATAAATATGAAAAATTAGATAAAATCAATAGATTCCCAGAAAAATACAATTCACCAAAGATGGCTGAAGAAGAAATAAAGAGCCTGAAAATTTAAAAATTTGAATCAACTTAAACTTTCCACAAAGCAACCTCCAGGCCCCAATGGCTTCACCAGTGAATTCTTTGAGTCAATAGAAAACTGGATAATTGAATTGTGGTAGAGTTATACACTGGAGTGCTACCTAGCAATGAAAACAAACTACAGCTACATGCATCAACATGATTTTTGTTTGTTTGTTTGTTTTTGAGACAGTCTTGTTCTGTTGCCCAGGCTAGAGTGTACAGTGGCGTGATCTTGGCTCACTGCAACCTCTGTCTCCCGGTTCAAGCTATTCTCCTGCCTCAGCCTCCCAAGTAGCTGGGATCACAGGCATGTGCCACCATGCCAGGCTAATTTTTATATTTTTAGTAGAGACGAGGTTTTGCCATGTTGGCCAGGCTGGTCTGAAACTCCTGACCTCAAGTGATCCACCCACCTCGGCCTCCCAAAGTGCTGGGATTACAGGTGTGAGCCACCATGCCCAGCCCAAGATTTTTTTTTTCTTGCTTTTTTTTTTGAGATAGAGTCTCACTATGTTGCCCAGGCTGGAATGCAGTGGTGCAATCTTGGCTCACTGCAACCTATGCCTCCCCGGTTCAAGTGATTCTTCTGCCTCAGCTTCCTCAGTAGCTGAGATTACAGGTGCGTGCCACCACACCTAATTAATTTTTGTATTTTTAGTAGAGATGGGGTGTTACCATGTTGGTCAGGCTGGTCTTGAACTCCTGATCTCGTGATCCAGGAGTGAGCCACTGCACCCGGCTTTTCTTGTTTCTTTTTTTTTTCTTTTTTTTTTTTTTTAATTTGAGACAGGTTCTTGCTCTGTTCCCAAGTCTGGAGTGCAGTGGCATGATCATGGCTCACTGCAGCCTCGACCTCCTGGGCTCAAGTGATCCTCCAGGCTCAAGTGATCGATCCTCCTGCCTCAACCTCCTGAGTAGCTGGGACCACAGGCATGCACCACCACACCTAGCTAATTTTTTTTGTTTTTTGTGTGTGTGGAAACAAGGTTTCACTCTGTTGTTCAAGCTGCTCTGGAACTCCTGGGCTCAAGCAATCCTCCCACCTCAGCCTCCCAAAGTGCTAGGACTACAGGCATGTGCCACCACACCCAGCCAAAAATTATTTTTATATGTGTAAAAAGCTATTTCAAACTGACAAATATTTATTCTGGAAAGACTGGTTTTTTCTTTTTGCAAGCTGAAAAGAGTTCCCTGATGGCCCTTAGATTCTGTAAAAGAGAATCTGGGATGACAGAAAGTTCAAAATGTGAAGCACTTCGTGGCTCAGGACCTTTTAATGAGTAGAGAGTGAATGGGGCCTGATCCGTCCCTCTGGCTCACCAGCCTTTCCTAAATGCACAGCAAACATGCTTGCTTCCTGCCACTCTCCACCCTCAGGTCAGGAGGTAACTGAGGTCTTGGCAGCTGCCCTTCAGTCCTTCCCCAAGCCGACTGAGCATCTGGAAGTTAAGCCAAAGGCCAAAAGTGTCCTGACTTCCTGAATAAGCACCTGTGAACTAAGAGAAGACATGGTGAGGCCAAAGCAAGTGCTCAGGGGACATACTACTGCAAAGAACAGAGCAAAAAGAATGATAAGAGATAAGGAGCGCCCAGGAGATCTTGTTCAGGGCCAGCCAGTGAATTCCCCTTTCTCTCTCCAGTCCCCCAAATTTCCCATTGCAAGTGTCAGAGGCTCTTAGGTGCTTCTTTTTGTTTGAGGTGGAGTTTCGCTCATGTTGCCCAGGCCTGAGTGCAATGGTGCAATCTCGGCTCACTGCAACCTCTGCCTCCCGGGTTCAGGCAATCCTCGTCTCCAGTAGCTGAGATTACAGGTGTCCGCCACCACGCCCACCTAATTTTTGTATTTTTAGTAGAGACAGGGTTTCACCATGTTGGCCAGGCTGATCTCGAACTCCTGACCTCAACTGATTCATCTGCCTCGGCCTCCCAAAGTGCCGGAATTACAGGCGTGAGCCACCGCACCCGGCCTGGCTCTTAGGCTCTTGGGCTTGGAGAAGCATGAAGATGAGGGTGTTCTATGGCCCAAAAGAGAGATTTTTGTTTTTGATTTTTTTTTTTTTTTTTTTTTTGAGACGGAGTCTCACTCTGTCGCCCAGGCTGGAGTGCAGTGGCACAATCTTGGCTCACTGCAACCTCTGAAACTCCACCTCCCGGGTTCAAGCGATTCTCCTGCCTCAGCCTCTTACGGGCATGCACCACCACACCCAGCTAATTTTAGTATTTTTAGTAAAGACGGAGTTTCACTATGTTGGCCAGGCTGGTCTCAAACTCCTGAACTCAGGTGATCTACTCACCTCTGCCTCCCAAAGTGCTGGGATTACAGGCGTGAACCACTGTACCCGGCCCCAAAAGAGAGTTCAGCTTTTTAAGGGCAACCAGTTCCAGGCTTTTGTACATGCTGTGGCCTTGCTTAGAATATTTTCCTTCCATCTAGTCCTGGCTTGCTCCTTTAAAACGTTTTTTTTTAGAGACAGGATCTCACTATGTTGCCCAGGCTGGAGTGCAGTGGCTATTCACAGTCGTGATTATTGCACACTACAGCTTAAAGTCCTGGACTCTTGACTCAGCCTCCCTAGTAGCTGGGACTACAATTGTGTGCTGCTGTGCCCAGCTGCCTGGCTAGCTTCTATTCATTATTTGGATTTCAAATTATGGACCATTTCCTCGTAGAAATGGAACACCCACCACCCAACCACCACCACCCCACCTTCACCAACTCTCATCACTCCACCTTACTGTTCTCTAAGAAGAGGTTAGAAGCCCTGCTCCCATGCCATGCCCTGTTCTTCCCTTATCAGCACTATCCCACTCTAACAGTTGTCTGTTTATTTGTCTACTTTCCCACTGGGATTTAAGTTTCCTGAGGTCAGGGACCATGACTGTCTTACTATCTCTACCACCAAGATACTACATGACAGGTACTCAGAAAATGCTTGATATATGGATGAATAAAATAAAGGAATGGCAGAGAGGACAAGTGATAGAGATTTCCTCCACAAGTCTAGAGTGTGGTTCTCAGCAGCCTAAGAGAGGAGCCTTCCAAGCAAGGGAAAGGAACACTAGGCTTTCTCCTCCCTTCCTCTCCTTCCCACTCCTTCCCATTCTTTTGCCAGGGCACCGCCCCTCACAACATCCATCTCCACTTCTCATTTGGTGTGAGTTTGAGCTCTCTCTACTGACCAAACTTCAGAACCACAGGGAGCCAAGCCTAGGCACCCTTGCCAGTTATTCTTCGCTAGGAAGAGACCCTTCTATACCCCAGCACCCCCAATCTAGGATTCCTAAGGGACTGGAGTAAGGAGAAAACAGGGCTGGTCAACACACTGGAGAGTTCCAAGTTCTAAGCCCACACCTCCCATCCTCAACATCAGGAGCACTTCCCTCACATCCTCACCTCATGCTGTTTCCTGGGGTCTCCACTCCCAGACTCCTACTCCAGCTAATTCACAGAAATGTTGATTTCTGGAGCCTTTGGCTGATACATCAGCTCTGACTGTGGAAGACAGATCCCAAGATGGATTGAGAATAGATAGAAAGACAGATAGTGAGAGACAACATAGAGGAAGGGACCCACTGACCGGATATAAACCCACAGTGAGACAAAACAAAGATCAGAGTTGAGAAAGACAGCCCACTTGAGCTGAAGCCTCAGCCCTTTCCACCCACATCAAGGGCCCCTGTCCTATGAAGAAAGATTTCCTTCACCCCTTCGGTCTGCCTATGTGTCCATACCCAGCTAAGGGAAGTGACTGTTGATCAGATCTGCAGGCTTAATGGAGATATTATTTAGGGACAGCTCCTGGACAAGAACGCTCTCCCAAACCCCGACACACTCTCCTGAGAGGACCCAGCCTGGAGCTCACATCTTCACTGTCACTTCCACTGAACGAGTGTTCTGGCTCCAGCCCCTTCTCAGGGATGCTTCTCTCCTCCTCTGGCATCAGCTCATCCAGCCAGAGGAGTTCCTGTGGTGAGAAGACCCTCTCCAGGGCCTTTCGGACCCCCACAAGGCCCAACAACTGCAGGAATAGAAACATGGCCCAGGCCTGTCAGCAACATCAGTAGGAACATTAATAATAACACTTCTTGAGCACTTCCTATGTGCTAGGCATTGTATATCAGTTTCACTGAATGCTAGCACATTCCTATGAGGTAGAATAATTATTCCCATCGTACAGAGAAGGAAACTGAGACCCCGAGTGATTAGTTACTTCCCAGAGGTCACACATCTGGGATATAGTAAGCAGATTGGTTCTACTGCGAAGCCTATGACTCTTAACTTCCTCAATAAGAACAAGGCCAGAAGCCACCTATGTTATCACCTCACTGAGTAATAAAAGTGTCACCATTTCCTCTACCAAGACCTTAGATTTCTTCTGGGTTTTATGTTCTTACCTGTGGCTGATCACTCCAAAGAGGTTGGGAAAAGAGGTGAATCAGGTATCCCAGGACTAGCCCATACATAGGTATCACTCTGCCATCTTTTTCTTTGTCTTAGGATTCCCAACCAGGGAGAGCCACAGCGAGTGAGAGGGGAGATTCTTCCTCTCGTGGAGGCCTTGGCCACCCTTCCAGGCTCAGAGTCTCCCAAGACCCTCCAGGACACAGCCCAACCCTGCCTCAGGTTACCATGAGGGGGAAGATGATGGCTGCAGGGGTAGACTTGATTATCCAAAGTAGCCCCAGACAGACAAGCTGGATGGCTGTGAAGAGATGGACCCTGGTCAGAGGCACATGCCTCAAGAGTAGCAGGTCTGGCTGGTGTTTTGCTGGCATCAACAACAGCTTCACTCTCTTAGTGAACTAGGGGAACGAGAGGAAGAGAAAAGCAGGGCACTTAGGTAGCCTGACAGGAGGGTGTTACTGATAGCTATCGTAGCCCAGCACTGGGAGCAGGCGGGAAGCATGGCAGCTGAGTCCCTGAGCCCAGGAGAGACAGAAAAAAGAGAGTAAGAGGGGAATTATCAAGTGTAGACAGGAGATGCCAGCAGAAAAGAAAAAAGGAGTGGGGTTGCTAGGTAATTTTGTTCTTTTTTGTTTCTCTTTTTATTCTTTTTTTTTCTTTTGTTAGGTGATTTTAATGGGCTCACCTGAATGCTGCTAAGTGCTGCCACCCCCATATACAGGAAGATGCCATAGAGCACAGGCATTGGGATGAACTGGTAGAAAGAAGCAGAGAGTTAGCAAAGTTTACCTCTGCCGACCTCCCAGATGCCCCAGGATGCCTAGATGTCCTAGATCCCTCTAGCATCTAGTATCTAGGTCTGCCCAGGCCTTGCCTTTCCTTTCACACTTTTCTTTTTTTTTTTTTTTTTTTAGATGGAGTCTCCCTCTGTCGCCCAGGCTGGAGTGCAGTGGCTGGATCTCAGCTCACTGCAAGCTCCGCCTCCCGGGTTTACGCCATTCTCCTGCCTCAGCCTCCCGAGTAGCTGGGACTATAGGCGCCCACCACCTCGCCCAGCTAGTTTTTTGTATTTTTTAGTAGAGACGGGGTTTCACCGTATTAGCCAGGATGGTCTCGATCTCCTGACCTCGTGATCCACCCGTCTCGGCCTCCCAAAGTGCTGGGATTACAGGCTTGAGCCACCGCGCCCGGCCCCTTTCACACTTTTCATGCCTGATCTGATTGAATCCTCAAATCAATCAGATGAAGTAAATGTTATTATTGCCTCATTTTACAGATTGGAAAATTGAATTTCAGAGGAACTAAGTAACTTTGTCCATTACTTGACCTACCACTCCAATCTTATCTATCACATTTCCCTCTGTTCTTTATGCACCCACTATACTAACTGCTTTTCCTTCCCTCAACATGCCCAAGTTTGTGCCTACCCCTTGCAAAGCCTTTTACTTTGCTATTCCCTCCACCTAAAATGCTCTTCCTCCAGACTTTCTCATGACCAGTTTATTCTTATTACTCATGCCTCATCTCATGACACCCTGAAAGGTCTTCATTGACTTTTTAACTTCAGGCCCAATCTAAAGTAGCCCCTGGCACTCTTAATCATCTTATCTTCTTCTATTTTTCATAGAAGTTATCACTATCTAAAGTTATCCTTTTTCTTGTTTTAATTTTTTTCTTTTCTTTTTTTTTTTTTTGAGATGGAGTTTTGCTCTTTCACCCAGGCTGAAGTGAAGTGGCTTGATCTCGGCTCACTGCAACCTCTACCCACCAGGCTCAAGTGATTCTCATACCTCAGCCTCCCACGTAGCTGGGATTATAGGCACCTGCCACCACGCCCGGTTAACTTTTATATTTTTAGTAGAGACAGGGTTTTGCCATGTTGGCCAGGCTAGTCTCGAACTCCTGACCTCAGGTGATCCACCAGCCTCGGCCTCCCAAAGTGCTGGGATTATAGGCGTGAGCCACCATGCCTGGCCTCCTGTTTTAACTTTTAAAAATCTTTCTCCGGCCGGGTGCGGTGGCTCACACCTGTAATCCCAGTACTTTGGGAGGCCGAGGTGGGCGGATCACGAGGTCAGCAGATCAAAACCATCCTGGCGAACACGGTGAAACCCCATCTCTACTAAAAATACAAAAAAATTAGCCGGGCGTGGTGGTGGGCCCTATAGTCCCAGCTACTCAGGAGGCTGAGGCAGGAGAATGGCGTGAACCTGGGAGGCGGAGGTTGCAGTGAGCGGAGATCGCGCCACTGCACTCCAGCCTGGGCGACAGAGCGAGACTCTGTCTCCAAAAAAAAAAAACAACAACAACAAAAAAAAACCTTTCTCCTTTCACCAGATTGCAAGGTTGGAAAAATGATTTCTTTTGACTACCATTATATCCCCAGTACCTAGAACAGTGCTTGGTATATGGGTTTTTGTTTGTTTTTGTTTCGGGTTTTCTGTTTTTTGGATTTTTTTGTTTGTTTGTTTTCTTTTGTTTTTTGAGACAAGATCTAAATCTGCCCAGGCTGGAGTACAGTGTCACAAACCTGGCTCATTGCAGTCTAGACCTCCTGGGCTCAGTGATGCTCCCACCTTAGCCTCCCAAGTAGCTGGGACTACAGGTTGCACACCACCACGCCCAGCTAACTTTTGTGGTTTTTGTAGAGATGGGATTTCGCCATGTTGCACAGGCTGGTCTCAAACTCCTGAGCTCAAGCAATCCACCCACCTCGGCCTCCCAAAGTACTGGGATTACAGGTGTGAGCCACCACACCCAGCCTAGCATATGGTTTATGCTCTGTAAATGTCTGTGAATGAGAGTCACCCAGTTAGTAAGTGGCTGATCCAGTCCATCTGGCTCTTTCCGTACTCTACTCTCACCCAGCTTCCATGACCTTTCCCTTCCCTAACCTCTTGTCATCCTGCCAGTGACTCTTGTCTGACATTCTCCACACCCTCCTTGACTGCTTTGCTGTCTTGGCTTGTTGAGCCTTTCTGCTATTACTTGTTACTTAATTTTTGCTCGTGTGTGTGTTGCTGGTAGGGGCTTAGTTCCATATTTCTTTTCAATATTCCACCGACCCCTACTTCTCCCACGTGCCTAGCAGTCTCGCATATGGCAAATATTCTATATACCTCTGGTGAAGGAGAAGTGAAGGCTTTTTGCCTCAGAGTTTTTCTGGGGTCCCTTTTTTTTTTTTCCTTTTTTTTTTTTTTTTTTTTTGAGACAGCCTTGCTCTTGTCATCCAGTGATCACCACTCACTGCACTCTCAAATGCCTGGGCTCAAGTGATCCTTCCACCTCAGGCACACACCACCATGCCCAGCTACCTTTTTTATTTTTTGTAGAGACAGGGTCTCCTTATGTTGCCCAAGTAGGTCTCAAACTTCTGCACTCAAGTGATCCTCCCACCTCAGCCTCCCAAAGTGCTGGAATTACAGGCATGAGCCACCGCACCTGCCCTGATCATACTCTTAGTCTGATCTTACTCTTAGTCTTACCTGATCATACTCTTAGTCTCAGGTTTGTTGATCTTTGTATGATCTTACCTGATCATACTCTTAGTCTCAGGTTTGTTGGGAGGCTACGGCAAGGGTAGCACTTAGACCCTAGGGGATGGTGGTGGCACACCCACACCTTGCTCCACTGGGTAAAAAGCCCATTGGATAAGAGTTTGGGTTCTCAGACAGATCTGAAAAACTGGCTCTTTTGATGGGCTTTTGCAAGTTACTTTGCCTCTTTAACCTTCGGCTGCCTCATTTGTAAGGTACATATTCCTTTCAGGGTTAATGTGAGGATTAAATGAGACCATGTATGGAGAATACTTAACAGAGCACCTGGCACACTGTAAGTGTTCAACTAGTGTCAGTTCTTGCTGTGCTCCTATTATTACTGCACTGACCCTGATCCTGGCTTGTATAACAAAGGTACCTTGAGCACAGGTGCCAGGAAGATGGAGGCTCCTGTAAGGATAAACACCACCAGGCCTGTCAGCCTCTGCTCCCTGTGGGGAGAGGGAAGAGTTAGGTGAGGTCTGGGAGAGTCCCTGGGGTACCCAGACTGGAGATCCTGGCTGAACACCAGTACAGACCCTAGCAGCAAGAGGAAACTAGAGGAATACCCCAGTAGGTCACCTGGAGGGATGAGCCCTTAGCTTGATGTGAAAAATTGGTGGAGAGGAAGGGGCAGAGCACTTCAAGGTGAGAGTCCCAGACCTCTCCATCAATTCAAGTTCATAGTTGCTCCTCATTTTTATTTTGATGGAAAATTAGCAATGTTTACACTGCCATAAAGACTTACATTTCACAATTTATAAAGTTGATTTCATATACTTTAGATACTTAGACTGTGTTTCCAACGGTTCCAAAATTGTTTTTATGATGGATTCCTTTGTAACTTCTACATTGAGTGAGGATTATTAGGTGGCACCTGACCCTCCACTTCAGCCCTGGCTGCCTCTACCTTTGCATTGATGATGCTCCTCTTGAGGGCCCTCCCAGTCCCCATGGCTGAGAGAAGAGAGGGGAAGATCTGACTTACCCATCTCAGAGCCCAGAACTCACTCATTGTGCCACTGCAGTGCTTGTAGGACACCAGTTTAGAATTAAAGCTGCCCAAATAACTCTGCCATGTTCCCCATTGCCCTACCTTGCAGCCCACCTCTTACTCCGCTTCCTAAATACTGCCCTCACCTGATACCCAGGAAGTTGCGGAGCTCCCCAGGGGCACAGGCTCTGCTCTCTCTCCGAAGACTGTCCATGTGAGCCAGGGAGATGACAGTGGCTGAGACATACCAAGGCAGTCCAAGCACTGATGTGAGTAGCATCAGCACAGCCACACAGAAGAGGTCCAGGTGGAAGCCAGCTCCCTTCTGCAGGTAGTGGTGGGGACAATGAGGATGAAGCTAGCCCAGGCCCTGGCCCTCTGTCCTCTGAGGTAGGATGGGGGAGCGTAGACTACCCTGGAGCTTCTGTCCCTTGGTCTAGGGCCTTGCCCAGCAGTCCTTACCTGCAGTCTGTATTCCACGCGGTTGAGGATGACCGCTGTGATCTGTTGGTCCATGAAGATGAGGATAGACAGCAGCAGGGCAGGCAGGGCAGCTGCCACACTCCACCACCACGGGTTGGTTCCAAAAGGTGACACCAGCCAGCCACGCCCAGGGAGTGTGGGCTGGGGGAGGGCATTTCATGGACAGGTTGGAGAGGGTCTCCCAAGAGCATCTCACCTGCACACCTCAACCTTGGCATTCTTCCACAACCTGCTCCCACCCCAAGACACTAGATGCTAGTGGGGTGTGTGTGCACAGCTGGTTCAAAGCATCCCAGTGCCTTAAAAGACAGCAGATGGAAGGAGACCAGCCCTGAGGTCAGGCTGGAACCAGGGGCTCTGGACTTTGGTTCAGGGTCCCTCCCTCCCTGGAAGAGAAGGAGGTGGCAGATGTGGCCTGCACACACTTCTTGATGTACAGAGCCCTGCTCCCTAGAGATCCCTCTTCCCCTATCCTGGGTGGGGCAACTCAGGCTCAGACCTGCCTTGATCTGAGGCAGGGACAGGGCTGGGTGTGTCTGCGTCAGCTCTGATTACAAGCATATGTGTAGGGGAGGGGGCCCCAGTTGCTGCCCCAGTTGGAGTCCTCCCTGCTCTCCTGTCTTGGAGGAATTCGGAGAGGAGGTCTCCAAATGCACAGGCAAAGTCTAGAAATCAGTGCTAAGCCTTGTCTACACACTGTCATGCCCTGGAAAGGGAGTTCCAGCTTTCCTGGATCAGAGTAGGCAATAAGGGGTGCAAAGAAGAGAGTGAGGAGTAGTGGGGTGGGCAGGGCCATGCCAAGGGTGGGGCAATCCCATAACAATAATAGCTAACATTTATTGAGGACTTGGTATGTGCCAGGCATGTGGTAAGTGCTTTCCATTGTGATCTTCTGTAAACTCAAAACAATCTACGGAATAGGAACTATTGTCATTTTATTATTTCCATTTTATAGATGAAGAAATTGAGGCTTAGAAATGTGCATTAACTTGCCTGATGCATAGCTGGGAAGTGGAAGAACTGGAACTCAAACCCAGGGCTGGCTGATCAGAACCCATTCTCTTAACCCATACCCTATAATAATAGCTACCGTGTATTCTCTGTACTCACGTGTCTGCTGCAGTACTTCACTGAATCCTCACGACAACCCTGTGAGGCCGTTATTATTACTATCTCTAGTTTATGAGTGAAGAAAGAAGCTTAGAGAAGAGAAGTGTGGGAATTATGCATTTTCCTTTCCCATGGTCTGCTGGCCCTGCTTTCCCCTATGGCCCCCCAACCCTATTCCCTGGCTCTCACCTTGAACTCTCTGGGCACCATGAGCTTTGGTGTGGCTAGGCCCAGGAAAGCATCAAGGCCACAGCCCAGCAGGATGGCCAGGACTGAGGAGAAGTCGCTGAGCCCTTTGCGCACCTGGCACACAGTGGACACTCAGTCAGGTCCAGACCTGCCATCCCTCTTTTTCCATACCACTTCCCACTTACAGATAGGACCCAAAGCTTAGAGTCAGGCCTCTCCCACAAAAAGAAAGGTGACACTCACCACAGAGGGGAAGAAGCGGCTGGTCTTTACACACTTGAGGGCCATAGCAAAGAAGAAAGAAGTAAGGAAGAGGAGAAGGGAGAAGAAGGCAATGTCTGGGACTGTATGACAGCCAGGGCCACGAGGCTGGCCTCCCTGCTGGGTACACTCAGGTGGCGGCAGCAAGGATGCATTGATCAGGCCTAGGTCCTGTACACAGGAGGGTTGAGGTGGGGTTACAGGCAATGGAGTAAATGTCCTGCTCTCCCAGACCCACTTCAAAGGAGGAGGGACCCACAGAGATACCAAAGGCCCAGGATGGGAAGTTCCCAGCTGTAGGAAATGGCTAAGCCACACTCACCTATGAAGGTTTCCTTAACCTATGGGTAGGAAGAGCTAGGAACCACCGACTGCCTTGGTCTCCACCCTTTCCTTCCTAGAACCTCCCAGGAGCAGTCCCTCACCATGCTTACGATGTCGTCTCTGTCTTTTGGCCTTGTCCTTATCCACTGAGAGTCATTTCCTGGGAAGCAGAGAATAATTCAGATGTATGTTCCCTCCCCTGGGAGCCTTCTCCAGCCCCATAAAATTCTAATCTGATGGGTCCAGCTGAACCAGAGTTCTTAATTGTGACTCATCTGTCTGCTGACTCTATCACTACCAAGTGTGTACTGCTCAGGACATTGTCTCATGCCCTCATCCTCTCAAATTCTCTACCCACCTGCATCCCGTGTACCAAGCACTGGACCTGGCCACAGCAAATGCTCGGCAAATGTTGACAGAATAAAGAAGTATACAAATCTGTGTGTTTCCACCAGGGCTAGAACTGGTCTTGTTCATGCCTAGCACTGATAGAAGAACATGTAGAGAGGCCATTTCTTCCCAGTCCTGGTGTTGCCTTCCATGTGGAGGGATATATGCAAGTGTAATACTCTAAGCCTCTCTCCACCTGGCCGGCCACTCTCACCCAGAAGAGCAGTGATATATTTGATTGGTGATTTCAGGAAATGAAGCTGGGCATACCTGGCCCTGCCCCTTTCTCTCCCCTCACTCGAGTATAAGCTGCCTGTTTGATGTATGTGTTTAGCTCTGCTTCCCTGGGGCAAGATAGTCTCAAACCGGTGCTTCCATGACTGGTGGGTAAGTCTATTCAATTTTGGCTTCATTATTAGGAAGCCCTTCACCCATAGATATAACCCATGTTCCTCTATCAGTGTTGTTAGAAAGGAAGACGATATTGGGCCTTCTGTTGTCTTACTTCTCAATTGATTCTGAACCAGAGTGGAAATAGTACTGCCAGTTATTGGGTAAGTATGCAGCATTTTGCTGAACTTAACCAGGGGGGATAGTAAGGGTGCAACCCCTCCCCTTCCCTACATCCTTCTTCACCTGACCAAGGTCTCTGTTTCCCTTACCCACCTCCTGGGCCTGGGTATTGGCAGAGGCACCCGTAGGTAGAGGACCCAGGCTTCTGGATAGGATAGGTATGGGTCAAGTTCAGCATTTTGCCCACAGCATCGTAGATGAAGATGAGGCTGATGAGGGCACAGAAACCTTCCTCAGTGAAGCGGGTGAAGTAGCGCACCAGAACACTGGCCTCTGTGGCCACCAGCACCAGGCAAAAGGTAGCCACCCAGATGCCCACCCATAGGCGGAAGGGCAGGTAGTCCAGGCTGTAATCTCTGTGGGGATGAGAGACAGGAAGGCTTAGCAGGGCTGTCTGCTTCCCACTAAACCCAGGTCAGGTATCCCTCAACCCAAACAGATAGCTCCCACCCTCTCCTATTCACCCAGCCAGAAGCAGACTGACCATGGCACTAGTGAGGATCTGGTGATGGGGGTAGCTCTCCTACCTGCTGAAAGAGAAGAGCAGGCGCTCAAAGACCAGCACCGGCCCAGTGCTGCTCAGGATGGTGAGGGGCTGGCCTGCCATCAGGCAGAAGGCAGCTCCTGCCACTGCTGTGCCCAGGAAACTTTCCAGCACTCCCTGAAAGCCAACAGGGGCTCAGCAGAGGACCCTGAAGTCCTCAGGACAGGAGCCCAAGCTTTGGGAGAGCCTCCTTAACTTACCCATAGTCCCAGGGGAAGGGAAGGACTAGGAGACACCAAGGCTTGTGCCTGTCCCCTGGGCCCTACCCACCTGGGCACCATCAGTGGCATCTCCCAGCAGACCCCCGAAAGTGATGGCATTAGTGACAGTGGCCAGGTAAATGTAGAGTACCGCCGAGAAGCATTGGAGATGCAGCGCGTCCAAGAAATCGCTGGGGTACCATGGGGCCTTCCTGCGCACGTCCTGGATAAGGCCCCCAAACAGCCTCCCGCCCGAGGGTCGTCAGTGATCCAGGTTTTCACACTCCACACCCACATCCCCGCTACTTTCCCTGTGGCCGGGTGAGCCCCTCCCACAGTGAGCACACCCCTCAGTTTCCCTGTGACTCCTCCCCTCCCCAGGTCACCTACCCTTGCTTCCTCCCAGCTCGCCTCACCTGCCAGTCCGCTGCAACTCCTGGCTGGGTGCGTGCAGCCCATGGCGGTGCCTGTCCTCAGCCGAGGTCAGGCGCGGGCCGGAGGGACCTCTGATCTCCCGCTGTTGCGAGGGAAGCCTGAGGAGGAGGGGAACCCGAGGTTGGCTAAGGATCTCCAACCGGTCGGGACTCGGCCCAGAGCTGGTGGCGCCCTGCCCCCTGGCGGCTGCTCTTGTCTCTGCTGGCGAGGGGACCATGGTGACACAGCGGCCTCAAGAAGGTCCAGGTCATATTGCGACCTGTAGAAAGCCAGGCTCGGGCAGGGAAGGTTTTGTTCAGGTCTCTTAGCGAGAGAAGTCCAGCAGAACTCCGAGTTAGGTCTGCCTGCCTCCAAATCCAAAGATAGGTCCCTATCTCTTTCCTGGGACCTCACCCCCCGTCAACAATGGAATCAGACCCAGGGCCTATGGGCAGGAATCTGTATGGGATGATAGCTCCCAGGTACCTTTTGTGCTGAGATGGCAGACATTTGGGCGGGGGAATCCGGGCTGTTGGGTCCCACCGACCCGGGGGAAGCACTGTCACCTCCTCTAGGAACGCATCCAGGGCTGCCAGAAGGTCATGAAGGTTGCTGGCCCGACGAACTGACCACTGGAATTGCTGAGGATGGGGACACAGAATGGGTGGTAAGTGCAAATCTGGTCTCTTACATGCATTTTCATAGTGTCAAAACTAGACACAAGTCACAGAGGCAGACAAGTCATTCACACATTCCTTTATGCATGCATTAATTCATTCATTCAGTGGGTATCTATTGAATGCCTATAGTGTGCCAACACTCAGCCAGTAATGGGGCTGCACTAGGAGACAAGGAAACTTCAGTCTCATTGCTCACTCTGCCTCATTGCTGTACTTAGGCACACATACAGAGTCCACACACTCACACAAACCCATGCATGCATGCATGTGTGCACATACACACAGGCATGTGCGCGTGAGTGCGTGCGCACGTGCGCGTGAGTGCGTGCGCACGTGCGCGCACACACACACACCTGCTTAGCTCACCGGGTCACTGAGGAGGACAGCTGCTGCCCGTCCCATCTCATGGTAGCCCTTTCCCAGCATAGGGGGGCCCAGGAGAAGGCAGAAAAACCTGAGGAAGGAACCAGGCCCCAGAGATTCACAGGCTGCTTTCCCACAGGGCAGCCCTGGCCTCTGATGCTCAGCTCTGACCTATCAGCTCCCATAAACACACTCATTTGCACACCTACCATGCAGTTCTGACCCCTACTGTCTCCCCAGACCCCTGAGCACCATCCTCCCCACAGCCTTAGAGAATCAGACTGAGACCCTCCTTCCCCTCCCCAGTAAAGACCCTTCTGGACTCTGGGATCCCAGACTCCCACTCACTCCCAAGTAGCCTTACCTGCTTGGGAGGGACACCTCAGTAAGGGACCCCAGTACCACAGGATCCCGCAGTCGAACAAAGGCTCCCAGTGGCTGTGCCAGGAAGCCCAGCTCCCCTGCCAGCACAGTCCCTGCCTCGGCTCCTGGAGGCAGCTTCTGTCTCAGGGGGTTCTGATACTGGATGGGGGTTCAAGGAGACACAGAGTATGAAAGGTTATTTGGGGAGGATAAGATCTCAACTGATGAGAAATCCAGTGGAGAGTAGACTTTTGTTAATTTCTAACCCCTCTCCCAGCCACTGGAAAGGGACCCCAAGGAAGGGCCACAAACCTGTTCCCTCAGGGGGGCTTCCTCATTGTCAGAAGCCTTTCTTGGATGAGTAGAGCCTACAAAACAGGATTATGCAGTGATTAAGACCACAGGCTTTGGGGTGGATCCACCAGGATTCCCTAATTACTTTTGCCACTGACAAGCTGTAAGAATTAGAGTACACCCTTCTCCACTCTGAGCCTCAGTTTTTTCATCACTAAAATGGGGATAATTGTGGTACTATTTACAGGGTGGTTGTGAAGATCAAATGAAATACTGCGTGTAAAGCTCTTGGCATAGTGCCTGCCAAGTACATCTCTTCACAGAGCTCTCTTACGATTCTAGCCCCCTGAATCTTCTCCCCACAACATTACCACAAGTTTCCTCTTGATCATGAGTCCTGGCTTGGAACCTGAACTAAGCCTGGGCTACTTCTAGCCCTGGAAGGTGCAGGGGAGATCTGAGACCCTGCCACACCAGGGTCTTGGTCCTGGGCCCAGGGAGGGGCTCTCACCCCAGCAGGGCCTGGTGCCTGTGGTCTGGTTGTAATGCTGGGGTCTCTGCAGCAGCAAGGCCTGCAGCTGCCCTCTCAGCTCTGGGCTCAGCGACTCCACCCTGGTCACCTGCTCTGGAGAACGGATTGGGGGTTATCTCCTTCCTGAGAGTTCCCTGCCCCACACTCTTCCCCTTCTCCCTCTGCCCAGACCCCTTTCCCTTCTGGGAGTCTCCGAATGCCAGGGCCAATGAACTTGCTCCTCCACCCTGCTTTTCCATGTCCACCTGTGACAAGGGTAGGCAATCCTAGGAGGGGTAGAGGTGGGCTCTGGAAGATTCCAAGACTTTGGAGGGGAAATCCTGGGGAAAAGGCATGGTTACCCAGGCCCTTCCTGCAAAGGCTCCCAGCCTACCCACAAGCTCCAGGAGGCTCTGAGCTGGGCAGTCCAGCAGTACAAGGCCCTCGGCCAGCAGGCTGCGGAGCTTCTGGAGGCTGGGCAGTGCCAGGGTGGGCACATGAGGGGCACTCCACCGGCCTGCAGCCACCTCCAACTTCTCCTCAAACAGTACCCACCTGTGATGAAGGTGGGTAGAGGTAGACAGTGTTATTGGGGGCATTTCTCCCATGTCCAGGAGCAGAGATGCAGAGGAGCTAGGGAAGGCAAGGCAATGAGGGTATCCTGGGCCCAGTGGTGTGAAGTGTTCCCCCCACCCCTGGCAGTCACCCTTCATCTTGGGTCTTGGGGATCTCAAAACTAGACTGCAGAAGAGGCTGGGCATCATGGAAGGTAAGACCCTGAAATAAGGGAACACAGCTGGGAAAATCCTAATTTGGGGCAGCCCCACAAGAAGCACTGGGGGGCATATAGGAGGCTCCAGCTGGGGAAGGGGAAGGATCCCACAGAACTGGCCTGCAATCAACTTACCTGCCTGTCTCTCTCCACTCCAGTGCCTGGGGCCAGCCCAGCAGCTCATTCAGCTGAATGAAGAGCAGAGGGTCTTTGCGTACTCCCAGTTCCTTGCTCTCTGTGTCTGAGGGGCCATCAGGGCTGGGGCCGGTGCCAGGGCCAGGGTTGCTGTCCAGCTCCCCTGAAGGAATATTTCTAGGAGCACTGGAGGCTTCAAACTCCTCCTGGCCTGGCAGCTTCATTTCCATGAGGCTTGCACAGAATCTCGGAATCAGTACCGTCTGAGGTTCTGAAGCCAGGGGCCCTCTGACTGGCTGCATTTATAATGCATCCCCCACTGCAGCACAACACAAACAGAACAAGGCCTGCTGACTCCAGAGCCTACCGGTCACCTACTCTCCTACTTGCTTCCCCCACCCACTGCTGGCATAAGAGTATTTGTAAGACCAGCCTGGCCTTTCCCAGACTCTCCAGAAATGCCCAACCTGGGGCCAAAATGTGTATGTGCATTTCCTGTGTTATCAGGTCTGATCCCACTGTGTTTTGTGTAAAGAAACAGGAGTAAATGATTGGCCTGGGCCTGAGGACTTGGTACCTCCAGATTTTGCTGCCCCCTCACTTGTATCAAATATAAACACCAAACACCCAGGACTGTTTTGGGTGTCACCAACACACCCCTGGGGCCACAGATACACCCATTTGGACAAACAGGGACCTAATAAATAATTGAGTCTATGGAAGCCAGACAGGGTAAGGGAGATAGCAGGCAGAGGCCCTGCCCATTAAATGGGATAATAATGGAAGACCTAGTGCCTGAGTCTTAAATTCTTTTCTTTTTCTTTTTCCTTTTTTTTTTTTTTTTTTTTTGAGACGGAGTCTCACTCTGTCACCCAGTCTGGAGTGTAGTGGCACAATCACAGCTCACTGCACCTTTGACCTCCTAGGCTCAAGTGATCCTCCCACCTCAGCCTCCAAGGTAGTTGGGGCTACAGGTGCACGCCACCACACCCAGCTAATAAGTCTTTTATTTTATTTTTGAGACGGCGTCTCCCTATGTCGCCTGGCCTGGAGTGCAGTGGTGTGATCTCAGCTCACTGCAACCTTCACCTCTCAGGTTCAAGTGATTCTCCCGCCTCAGCTTTCCAAGTAGCTGGGATTACAGACATGTGCAACCACACCTGGCTGATTTTTATATTTTTAGTAGAGACAGGGTTTCACCATGTTGGCCAGGCTGGTGTCAAAAACTCCTGACCTCAGGTGATGCACCCGCCTTGGCCTCCCAAAGTGCTGGGATTACAAGTGTAAGCCACTGTGCCGGGCTGCCCAGCTAATGAGTCTTAAATTCTTTTGTCCAACAACACCTTGAAATTCCCCAATTTAGCTGTGTCCCTGGGATCTGCCCTTGTAACTCAGCCTTCCAGTGAGGATGGAGAGAAGCCCACTAGGGGGTGTGAGTGAAGGAGTTCCCGGAGCTAAATGAGCAAAGGAAAATGTGGTCCATTATTAGCAAATCCTGTTGACTCTATCTTCAAAATATACCCATAATCCAACCACATCTCCCCACCTCCAGCACTGCTACCCTGATCCAAACAACCATCATTTCTCACCTGAATTATTTCAGTAGCTTTCTAATCTCTTGCAATAACCCCCCTGCTTCCACTCTTCCTCCCTTGCCCAAAGTCCATCCTCCACACCATACATGTCCTTTCAAAAGGCAGTTGAGCCACATTACTCTTCAGTTCAGTACTCACCCAACACATTCCCATTACTTGAAGAAGAAGAAGAAGAGGAAGGGGGGGGAGGGGGAAGGGGAAGGGGAAGAAGAAGGTGAAGAAGAAGAAGAGGAAGAGGAGGAGGAGGAAGAAGAAAGAAGAAGAAGAAAGAAGAAGAAGAAGGAGAAGGAGGAGGAGGAGAAGGAGGAGGAGGAGAAGGGGAGGAGGAGGAGGAGGAGGAGAAGGAGGAGGAGGAGAAGGAGGAGGAGAAGGAGAAAGAGGAGGAGGAGGAGAAGAGGAGAAAAGAAGAGGAAGAGGAGGAAGAGGAAGAAAGAAGGAAGAAGAAGAGGAAGGAGAGGGAGAGGGAGAAGACGAAGAAGAAGAAGAAGATGAAGAAGACAAAGACGACGAAGAAGAAGAAGACGACGACGACGAAGAAGAAGACGAAGAAGACGAAGAAGAAGAAGAAGAAGAAGAAGAAGAAGAAGAAGAAGAAGAAGAAGAAGAAGAAGAAGAAGCAGCAGCAGCAGCAGCAGCAGCAGAAGCAGCAGCTCCTTGTCATGGCCTGCAAGATTCACACCCTGGCCCCAGTCCACCTCTCTGACGGCATCTCACACCAGCCTCCCCTCGCTCACTCCTTTCTAACCACACTGGCCTTAGTCTGTTCTGCAAAACCTGTTCCTGCCTGAGGGTCTTTGCAGGATCTATTTTCTCTGTAAGGAAAGCCTTTCCCCCATATCCTCACATGACAGTCTGTGACCTAGGTCTCATCTCAGACGTTAGCTACTCGCGGAAACCTTCCTTTTCCATCCTATCCTAAGTTTCTCTCTTGGGTCACTCTCCATCACATTTCTCTGTTTTATTTTGCTCCTAGCAGTTACCACTACTAGTAACTGCCTCATTTATGTATTTGTTTATCATTTATTGCCTGACTGTCCACGCACACGCACGCTGAAATGCACAGTCCGTGGAGCAGGTATCTGTCTTGGCTGCGGAGCCTAGAGCGGCGCCTGGCACGTAGTGGCTCTCAATAAATATTTATTCAATCAGAGAGCATACAAAGGGCGGAGCTGAGAAAAGAGCCGCGCTTCTCCTGGAGGCCACACGAGGGCGCTGCTCCCCACAGACCAGATTGCTAGGGCCACTTCCTTAGGCTCAGTGGCTGCGGACCTGCCGGGGCGCAGAGATAGAGATGCCGAGATGGCAGGGAGGGATCCTATATCCTCATTCTTGCCCTGGCCCACCGCGGAATGGCCCGGAGGGATGGGGGCTTGGGGAAGCACAACAGGATGGGGAAGGGAGGGCCAATCAGGCTCATCTGAATGTAGGTCAGCCACACCCCACATATTGAATATCAAGAATCCATCCCCTGAGAAAGGGGACCCAGGCCAGCCCTCCCCAGAGCCTCACGTCTGGTCCAAGGAGGTCCCAGGGCAGGAATTAGAAGAATGTGTCACTATATTTCCAGTTGGGGAGGGGTGCTGAGTCTGAATGAGAAGGTGGTTTCACTGCCAGGAGGAATAGAAACTGGCCTAGGGCCTGAATGGGCCTTGAACCCCTGTGACCACTCCCTTCAAGAATGTGCCCGACATTAAGGACAAGTGACTCAAAGGAGCCTGAGGGGGATGGGAGCAAGGATTTGGCGTACCTCCCCCACATGCACATACACACATGTTCCCTTCCCACCCAACTCCTGCCAAAGTTCAGAGTGTCTATCCTTGCCCTTTCTGTGGCCCCAACTACCCTGGCTCCCAGTGCTGCCTGGAGTAGTGGGCCACCATGCCTCCACCCTCTCCAGGTCTCACTTCCACCTGTGGACCTGAGTGCCCTGAGCTGGGTAGGCCGGTGAGGGTTGGCCCGTGGGCACCAGTGGTCTCCCAGACAGGGCCCAGGGAAGGTGTGCTGTGTGGGTGAGCAGTGCTATGTGGGTGAGCAGCCCTGTGTGTGGCCGCTGTAAAAAATCCTGGCCTAGGAGTTCAAAGACTGGTTCTCACCCTGGCTTAGTCACAGACTTATTGGATGTCTTTGAGTAAGACCCTTCCCTTCTCCAAGGCTCCATTTTCTTACATGTAAGTGGAGACAGTTGGGGTAGATTATTTCCAAGGTTCAAAGCATACTTTCATGCAGTACACTGTATCTTAAGGGAGAGGAAGTGGTCTCGGGAATAGGATGCTTGGCTTGCTCACTTTCGGCAAGCGGAGAAGAGGTTTATCTTTGCTGAACCTAAATTTTCTTTCTTTCTTCCTTTCTTTTTTTGACACAGGGTCTTATTCTGCCATCCAGACTGGCATTCAGTAGCAATGATAGCTCACTGCAACCTCAAACTCCTGGGCTCAAGTGACACTCCTGCCTCAGCCTCCTAAGTAGCTGGGACTACAGGCACGTGCCACCAAGTCTGGCTAACTTAAATATTTTGTAGAGGGAGGGGCTCATATGTTGCCCAGCTAGTCTCCAACTCCTGGGTTTAAGCAATGGCTTCCCATAGTGCTAGGATTACAGGCATGAGCCTCCATGTCCAGCCCCTTACAAGGTTTTCAACACTTTAAAAAAACAAAACAAAGAAATGTTATTGGCTGGCCACGGTGGCTCACACCTGTAATCCCAGCACTTCGGGAGGCTGATGTAGGCCGATCACCTGAGCTCAGGAGGTTGAAACCACCCTGAGCAACATGGCAAAACTCCATCTCTACAAAAAATACAGAAAACTAGCTGGGCATGGTTGCACACGCATGTGCTAATAGCTACTCGGGAGGTTGTGGTGGGAGGCTTGCTTAAGCCCAAGAGAGGCTGCGGCTGCAGTGAGCCCAGATGGTGCCACTGTACTCCAGCCTGGGCAACAGAGTGAGACCCTGTCTCAAAACAAAACAAGACAAAAACAAACTTATTGTTTAACTCATTTAAAAATAATATATAAATTAATATAAATTAAAATATTTATTAATGTGAGTTTAATTATAGATTCACAAGAAATTGCAAATCTCCAGCTTTCATCCAGCTTCCTCTGGTGGTAACTTCTTTCATGACAGTAGTACAATATCAAAACCAGAAAAATGACATAGGTACTATATTATTAAATAGACTATAAGCCTTAATCAGATTGCATCAATTTCTGTATGCACTCATTTGTGTATGTGTGTAGTTTTATGAAATTTTATCACATTTATAGGTTTACTTACAACAAGCTGGGCAAATTGTACAATTTCCTTAAGCCCAATTTATAAAACTAGGGTGTTAATACTAACTTCCTCAGAGGAGTGTTATGAGAATTAAGAGATAATGTGTATAAAGTGCGTAGAAGCTGGGCACGGTGGTTCATGCCTGTAATCCCAGCACTCTGGGAGGCTGAGGTGGTGGATCACGTGAGGTCAGGAGTTTGAGACCAGCCTGGCCAACATGGTGAAACCCCATCGCTACTAAAAATACAAAAATTGGCCAGGCGCAGTGGTGGGTGTCTGTAATCCCAGCTACTCGGGAGACTGAGGCAGGAAAATCGCTTGAACCCAGGAGTCGGAGTCTGCAGTGAGCCGAGATTGTGCCATTGCACTCCACCCAGGGCAACGGAGCGAGACTCCGTCTGTCTAAAAAAAAAAAAAAAGAGAGAGACATAAATAACAAGTAAATATTTAAAGAATGGGCTGGGTAAGGTGGCTCATGCCTATAATTCTAGCACTTTGTGGAGAATTATTTGCGGCCAGGAGTTTGAGACCAGCCTGAGCAACATAGCCGGACCCCATCTCTACAAAAAAAAAAAAAAAAATTTTTTTTTAAGTTAGGCATGGTGGCATGTGCCTGTAGTCCCAACTACTCAGGAGGCTGAGGCAAGAGAGTTGCTTGAGCCCAGGAGGTCGAGGCTGCAATGA